GAAAATGCAATAGCCACTCTCAGTAGCATTGTCCATTTTCCCAAGTTCATCAAAATAATACCAAGCTTGAAGCTACCCTTAACGTGGCAGAATTTGCGATGTTTTACACCACTCAGCAATCCCTAGCGTTCCATTTCTGATCATATGTAAATAACTACGGACCAATCAGAGATCGATGCGTGTTACGTTGTTTCTCTATGCCATGATTACTTCCCATTTGTGCTGAATGTTTGTATGCATGAGCCTATTCTGAATAGTCTCGCAAAAGTTTAAGTCTAGCCTTTAACCTCTCATAATAAATATCGCTGTGTAAAGTAAAACAAAACGCCAAATCACCGACTTTTTTTTTTTTTTTTTTTTTCAAAAAAGTAGGGGGGGACAGAAGCAGGGGGATGATGTTACTGCTCGTACTTCCCAATCGCAAGAGATATCAAGCCCCAAATCAGCTAAAACCAGCGGGGCCCGTAAGCATAGATGCTGGCGCGAAGAGTGGCGATTCAAATATCCATGACCAGAAAAAAAAGATTGTGGAAAGGAAATTTTAGCCTTCCATAAAATAATGCACGCACTACCTGCTTCTAATCCAAAAAATTCTGACACAGGCCCTTCCAGCTCCGATGAAACGAATGTGCGTGTGCTTGTGGTTGGGGGGAGAATATCATCAACGCGACGAACTTCAGCAAGAAAATATTGTTCCGCCTAACCAAATTTCAAACGGATTTATTCAAATCAATATGATAATTCACTAGCTAGTATGCTAACGCATTTCACCATTAAATTAATAAATTCAAGTTTCTACGATTACAATTACACGTTGTTTTAAATTTTAATGGCAAAAACCGCTAGCACAATCGACTAGAAACTAACGCTGGTGATGATTATCGGTCACCAAGTTACTGTGTTTTCCAGTGAACGGTATCTGACCAATCGCGACGCAAGAAAGCTGTATCACACGTGTGTGTGATACCAGACCTGTATCTCATGGGTCGTATCCCACCATTTTATCGAATTTTTTTTTTAGAAAGCGCTAAGAGTCAAATATGTCCTTGTAAACTGGATGCGATTAGCCTTCAGGGACTGACTGTATACAGCTCGAAACTGTTATTTCATTGTTTGGACCAACAATCACAGAGTTGGTTCAGAATACTGTAGACTCGGCTGCGGTTGACATCCGTTATGTTTGTTTTACTGTTGAATTTTATCAAAGAAGACATTATAACTGGTTTCGCTATTTATTTCATTAAATCAGAATAGGATCATTTCACACAAGGTGTTGAATCCAGTACTCTTGATCATATATTATAAGCAGTCAGTTAATGTGTACATTACCCGATCAATGTTTCTCACTCTAGTTGTGACCAAATGGCTTGAGGAGATAAACTAAATTACCGCACTACCAACATCTTCTGATAATGGCAGAGGTTGGGATGTGCACAACTTGTTGAGCGAGAGCCAGGGACCCTCGAATCTGGATCAGGACCCCCATACAAAGGAACTCACGGGTTTCGGGACCCCTGAGAAAGGAAAGCTAATGGAAGCCCCGGGCCTTTCTGTGTGGAGTTTGCATGTTTTCCCCGTGTTTGCGTGGGTTTCCTCCGGGTACTCCGGTTTCCCCCACCCACAAAAACATGCATCATAGGAACACTCCTACCAGTATCCCTGACCAAGGAACTGGCTTTAGAACTGTAGTTGGTAACCGGGCACTGCTCAGTGGCTGCCCACTGCTCCTAACTATGGGATGGGTCAAATGCAGAGGACAAATTAACCCACGGGGTTCAACTAAGTGTATCTTATCTTATCTAAAGTATATGAAGCTCTTTCATTGCTGTGATAGTAAAATTGAGTTATTAATATGGTTTCTAAAGTGATAGTCAGTGGGATGTATGCCACCAGCAGCTGCTGTTCATTGAAAGATTGGCTTCCCTTCATAAAACAGGAGTCTGTTATACATTGTGCCGCGTTCCCTGATTTTGTCTTTGTGCTGACTGGGCCAGCAAGCAGCTTGTGAGTTCTTATAGTCTGTGCTCGAGTGGTGCCGTGAAACATGAGTCAGACGTTAATCGCAGACTTAGCCATTTGATTATCTTCCCTGTGCCATTTCAGTCCTCATGAATTTCTGCTCGATTTGGGAGGGAAGGGGAAGAAAAAGGAATGAATAAATAAATGAACAAATTAATTAATGATTTAAAAATTTAGAGACTATGTTGCTGCATGTTTTGAGGAAAGGGCTCTCTGAGTTGGTCACAGCCACTGTCAGCGAAATGTCAAGTGACAGCGAGCGTGCGTTTTCAGGAGCGGGAGATGGAGTGTGTTGCGCATGCTTTCGATGATGTGAAGCCCCCTGGAGTGTCCCTATCGTACTGTATGGGGGAAGGCAGAAGTGGGGTAAAGGGTAACAACAGCACAGACCACTTATTCAGGCTCTCCAAACTGCCTGTTGGGCTCTCTTTATCCAGTTCAAAGCTGTAGTTTGGGGAGGTTTTTTTATATTTCAGATTTAGTGTGAGCTCTCAGCAGGCCCAGGCCAGTTTAGTGCACAGAGAAGGATATGCTGACAGAGGCCTGGCAGCTTTACCTTGACTGGCTTGCTAGCACTTGGTGCTTGGTGGTGTGAAGTGAGAGTGCTACACAATTTTTGGTTACTCTTTGTGCTCTCAGAATGTGCTCATATGAACATGCTATGCATTGTTTGTATTTATTTGTCTTGTTTTTTCTGACAAGAATACTCTGGGATGTTACGTTCTTATATCAGTTTTAATACTGTGCTTCAACATCTTTCTCTTCAGTGGTCTTGGGTTTCACATACTGTTGCAATCAAAATTATTCAACTGCCGTTGCAAATTAGGTTTACTGGCAAAATTTACAAACTTTCAGCTATTTGCAATGAACAAATCAAACAAGAACAATTTAAATAGCTCAACACAACAGATATTACAAGTGGCTTCTCCAAATTCAAAACAAAATGCCACTTTTAATGACTACTGCAGGCTCAAAATGATTCAACCCCTTCATGACAAGCATCTTTAATAATTAGTAGAGCACCCTTTTGCCGCTATGACCTGCTGGAAATGTGATGCATAGGCAGACGGCAACTTTTGGCAGCATTCCCAAGGAATCTTAGCCCAGTCCTCATGAACAATGGCCTCCAGTTCACTAAGATTCAAGGGTTTGCATGCTGCAACTGTGTTCTTCAAATCTGACCAGAGATTTTTTATGGGGTTCAAGTGAGGCGACTGTGATGGGCATTCTAGTATCTTCCCAGACTTCTTCTGAAACCAAGCCTTGGTGGATGTTGAGGTATGCTTAGGATCATTGTCCTTTAGGAAGGTCCAATGATGCCCAAGCGTCAGCTTCCCCATAGACGGCATGACATTTTCTCCTTGGATATCCTGGTACTTGACTGAATCCATCTTGCCCTCCACACTTTGCAGGTTTCCAGTGTCAGAGGACGCTAGGCAGCCGCAGAGCATCAAAAAGCCCCCACAATTCTTCACTGTAGGCAGGGTGTACTTTTCAGCATATGCTTCTTTATTTCTCCTACTGACAAACCACTGATTCATAAGCCCAAAATATTCCAGTTTTGTTTCATCACTCCACAGAACAATATCCCCAAACTTCTGTGGCTTATTTATATGGTATTGAGCATATTGGAGCTTGTGCTTTTGGATCAGTTGTGGTGTGTGTCTTGGAGACCTTCAACGTTTAGTATGCGCCCTTCTGTGTGACCTGAAACCTCAGTGCCTCCTGCCTCCAAGTCTTGCTGCGGGTCTCCTGCAGTCACCTGAGGGTTTTTGACCACCCGTCTCCTCAGGAATCTGGTGACAGCCATTGATCGCTTCCTCTTTCTGCCACATCCTGGTACTGTAGCCACCCTTCCTTTAACTCTGAACTTGCGAACTATGCTTCCAACTGTATCTCTCAAACATTCAGTGCCTGTGCTACCTTTTTGTATCCTTTTCCTTGTTTGTGCCAGGCAGTGATCTCCTCTATTAGCTTTTGGAGTATTCTCTTTACAGCCATATTTCTAATATGCAATCAAATGTCACTGTCAACAAACTCCTAGCGAGTGCAAGTATTTGATGTGTTCTCTCTCAAGCAAACCTCATGCAACTAATTAGGCTCTTGATTAGGTGTGCTTGAGACAACTGATTTGCAAATATGCTCTATTGACGGATTCTTTTCGGGGGGTTGAATAATTTTGAGACTGCAGTAGTCATTAAAAGTGGCATTTTGTGCTAAAATTGGAGAAACCACTTGCAATATTAGTTATGTTGAGCTATTTAAAATGCTCTTGTTTAATCTGTTTATCACAAACGGCTGAAAGTTTGTACATTTTGCCAGTAAACCCAATTTGCAATGGGGGTTGGATAATTTTGATTGCAACTGTACTGAAGGAAATGTTTGCAGCTGACCATTATATTCAGTGTTATTTATGGATAATTTGACTGACATACAACCTCATGCTGTCAATGTACAGACTGCTTTGCTGGCACTTGAAGCTTATGCTCTTGCCATATTCCACAATTCACAAAATTATCCCATACTGTAGTGAATTATATCCTTAATCTTACAACTTTAACCTTCAAATGGTAATGCCAATACTTTCCCGGAAAGAAACACTTCAAGATGTAAATCACTTGTGCGGGTTACTGCCAATGTCTGTTTTTATTTCATCGGTCATATTTTAGTGATCTTTCAGGCCCAGTGTTCCTTCAGCTATCCTATAGGGAGTCTCTGCCAGTCATTTAGGACTATGCTCTGCTCGTGCTGGTCTCCTCCTGTTATTTATGCTTTGGTGTGTTCGCGGGTATCAATGCTGAAGGCGGTTCTTTGTTTTCTCGCTCAAGAGCTCACTTTCCAATTCATCTTCTCCCCACCTGCCCCTCGTCCATCTCTGCGGCTTTGATGAATGTCTACACTGCTGACTCTGGGCTTGCCAGTTCACTTGAAGAGTCTATAATTACCTCTGAGTGGAATGGGAGAATTGAGATAAATTGGGCGGCACGGTGGCGCAGTGGTTAGCAGTGTTGCTTCACAATAAGAAGGTTCCGGGTTCAAATCCCGGCCAGCCAACCAGGACCTCCCTGCATGGAGCTTGCATGTTCTCCCGCTGAACGTCTAGGTTTTCTCCAAGTACTCTAGTCTCCCGTACCTCATAGGCCGCATATCCACGGACTGTTTCCCTCTGGCGTGTTTTCGTGCTCATTTGTGACCTTGTTGCACGCCACACGCATAGTGAACCTTTCTATTTCTTGTTGTGGGTTCCCATACATTGTACCCTGTGAACTTGCGACAATGAATGCAACTGCGGCATCCTTACTAGCATCTCTATGATTTTCGTTCATCGTTTACCTGAAAAAGGAATTTTTTTTTTATTAAGTTGTATTCTTCATTTCCATTGTCATGAGCGATTGTTTTTTATAATAATCACAGGATGATAAGTATCATAAATGCCCACCTTTTCTTCAGCGATTCCAACCATATCAGGTAACATCCTCAAATGAAATGAAAATCCGATCAATGCACACGCCACAGGTCATATGCAATGGAGATAGAGGGCACAAGGCCAGGTCACAAGGTCATGACGCCACAAATCCGCAAGTTCACAAGGGGACAGCGTATGGATATGTAGCCTTAAAGACATGTTGATATGAACACTCCTAACAGTGCCCCTAAGACTCTGGCTTTAGGACTAGAGTAGCCCAATGCTCCTGAGTCACTAGGATGGTTCAAATGTAGAGGACGAATATCTCAGTGGGTAAATATACTGTATATCTCTGTCTAAAGTGCTTACAGATAATTTGCGAGTGTAAATAAATGGTGGTGAGGGAAAGGCAGGGATCAGTGGTAACTGCTGCTGATAGGATAACTGAGAAAATAAGGCCATGTAAAGGCTTAAGTGAGCAGCTTGTAGAGGTGTATCCGCTACTGTATATATATCACGCCCGATCATCTCTTATTACCCTTCATTCCTGTCCCATGCTTTAAAATTCATGTGAACATCACTGGAGGTCCAATCATATACAAATTGAAAATTGGACATTTTCCCTCTTCTCTCGGTATGGATAGGGATTACTCACAGAATAGTTTTTTATACCTTTGGTGGTGTTTAATCTGTCACTGTGCCTGATCCCAGCCATTTTGCGGTTGTTGAAATGCAGTTAACCACGTCAATACTTTCCGAGGATCACGTGCACACTACAATGGGAACATTGAAGTGCATGTCTCTGTGAGATAATTGGAAAAATCATCCGTCTTTGAGAAAGAAATTGAAAGCATGGATAATTTGAAGAAGTGGCCAAGCGTGACGTATGATGACATTTCCAATGTATTTTGTCACGCAGGGTTGAAGGAAGGAATAGGAAATGAGTGCTTATCTGAATCGGCTCAGTGGTGAAGAAGGACTGTTTGTATGATTTATTTATTTTTTAATTTTTTTTTTTTTTTGTTGGTCTGGTGCCGAATTTGCTGCTTGTAAAAACTGGTTTCATGCGGACGTCTACATATTTGGAAAATTAGTTCTTAAAACATTGAAACCAAACAATGAGATGGCTCTTAGTTGATGATATACCTTTATCATCTTTTACCAATGCTAATATGGCATCATACCCTGTCTTGTTGAAGTGTCCTCCATTACCTGTGGACTTTTAGCAGTCTCATTTAGTGTGTGCACGGTGGCCTCTGAAACCAAGTCTGTTTCCACGGAGAAGTTTGCGTTCAGAAACTCGAAGCACAAAGCATGATCAGTTGCCCAGGCTTTCAGTGATATTTTCTATCTATGGAGGTTGAGCGAAAATGACCGCTTCCCTGCAGTTTGAGGGAATCATTTCTGGTGACTATTCAGACTGATGCACATGAAACGTACAAAAATGGCATCTAATGAAGAAAATAGTGTGTCAGAGGGTCCATTTAAAGCATGTGTGTTGATTGTCATCTTGTATTTGTTGTGTGTTGCTTGCTATCTTATACATGTTGCGTGTTGCTTGTCATCTTGTGTATGCTGTGTGCTCCTTGCTATCTCGCACATGTTGTGAAATGCTTGCCATCTTGTACAGTACGTATTAGACATACTTTGTTCGCTCATGTAACATCTTTCGTTACTGTATTTGTTGGTGCTTCGTAATTACCAGCAGTTTGACTGAATATTGATTCTTGATCACAATCGTTACATTACAGTGAGCAGAATCAGGTCTTGCCTGGTAGATCTGATGCTCTCGGCTCCTCTCGGCAGGTGCCCTGGCCATCCTGATCCCGGAGCTGGACCTGGTCATCTCCCTGGTGGGCTCGGTCAGTAGCAGTGCCCTGGCGCTCATCTTCCCGCCCCTTCTGCAGATCTTCGCCTTCCACAGCGAGGGCCTCCCCATCTGGGTGAAGCTCAAGTGCTGCTTCATCAGCCTGTTGGGGATCGTGGGCTTCGTGGCCGGAACGTACTGTAGCATCGAGCAGATCGTCACCCGCAGCAAGCAGAGGACCAGCAGCCTCTTCCTCCAAAGCCCATGAGAGTGGATAACAGCAAAGTCGCCCGTTCGTCAAAAGTGCATTCACCAAGTCACTTAATTTATTTATGGCCTGTAATTAATTGTTTTTTGCCCTTAATTTCTTAAAATTATTTAATTTTGACTTTTCCTTTTGTTGAAGCAGTAGCTGTTTGCCAAGTTAGCTAAGTTGGTAGTTCCGGAGCCTTCTCAGACGTCATCATTGGTACCTCAGCCAGGTCTGGATCCAGATCCATGATGAGATTTCATTGAGGAGGAAGTCATTGACTGCTGGATCCAGCTGGGGTGCCTCGACAGGTTCAGGAACCGCCAATTTCGGTGATTGCAACACCTGTCACAACTTGGTTGTTTCAGATCAAACTGGACACGTGCAATCGCCGCTGGATGTCACCTGCATCCAGGCCTTTTGGTTTCTGGTCTGTTTTCCTCTAGTTGTACTGTTGTCACTACATCCTGAGAAACATCTAGAGAAATACCCACTCCTCATATGGTGCTTTTTTATCCTCCAAGCATCTTTGGTTTTTATTTATTTTATATTGTTTTGTTTCTGTGCAAGTATCCAGTTTGAACATTAGAATAATGATGTCGACAAGAGGGCCATAGTCATGCGTAGGAGAAGCATTAAACAATAACCATGTTTTCTTTCCTTGATCCGTTTCTGCTTTCTCATACTTCTTTCGCAATCCTACATCACCTACTGTACTTCATTTTAACTTATCTTTTTAGAAAAAAAAATGGCAGCTTCTGCGGTCGTATTTTAAAATATTTATCTAAAGGGATCAAAATGACGATATTAATCAGAGCTGTAAATGCATTTTGTGATGGCCTGTGAGATGTTTTTAAGTCCCCCCACAACCATGAAAAAAGAGTGGCTTGTGTGATGTAGGCCCACGTTTTCTTATCACAGGAATCTGTGAATATTAATTCAGTGTGCTCAGTGACCCAAACCTTACATTTTTATTGCCCATTATGAATAAATTCCCCCTATTTGCAAAGCATATATTCAGCATGTCAAAATAAGCCAGATCAGTGTTATCAGTGTTTAGTGGGTTTTACAGCTGCAGAACTAAAGCCCATTCATCCAGGATTGGAAGATTCACATGGTCTCGTCCAGTAAGAGGAACCTGTCGGCTTTCTCCGGCTGTATTTGGTTTTACAGCCTCTCTTATTCCAGTGATCTACTGTATATAAGCCTAACCTTGCAAATAAGTATAATCTTTGAAAATAATGATTTAAATTGTGTAAATTCAGTCTTTGCACATAAAACCACTGACGTGGAACTACAGCTTAGTTTGATGATGTTTCTATCAATGCCAAACATCTCTGCAGGATTTTGCTCATACTGCAGAGTAAAATCATGTCATATAGCAAACTAAAAGCAAACTAAGTACTTTGTTTTCAAAATGTATCTTTGGGGTTTTTAAGGATAAATTATGGTTTGAAATGTCCTTTTTTGTTGTTTTTTTTTCATCATTAGTTGCCTTGCAGTTGTGTTCAATGTTGAAAATTCGTTTTCTGTCATTACTACACTAGAATCTGTCAAAAAAGGTGCTTTGATGAATGTAATTATTTTGGGATTTTTATTGGGTTTCAACTATAATGTTTTTATTGTTTGAATGTCGAATTCATTGAGTAATTTCTGTCGAAATTTTGTTTAAAAAAAATGCAAATGTGGATAGAATTTTTTATGCTTTGATTTGATGTACAGGGAATCATTCATGTTGGCTTAGCTATTCGTGTACTTAATTTTAGATGTCTTGAATGCTGCCTGAGTACAGTCGTATATTTACTGGTATTAAATGTCAGAAGGAAGGGAAAGTGATTTTATGGATAGTGTTTGTAATGCTTTTTTTGGTGCAGTGCTATGGATTTAAGCCCCAGGTTATACTGCAATGAAATCAGGCAATCAGTTTCACACTAGGACTAGAGTGAATGGACACAGCTTTACAGTTAATTTAGTGGCCTTGTATCTTTTGTCATGAAGGGTCATGTTATGTACAGAAATGACACGCTAATATTTTTTAGCAAATGGAATATGTGGAATGTCTATATATTGTGTAGTTCAAACAAACATAACATATAGCTTGTAAACCTTAAAAAGGCAGAAAATGCACAGAAAGATGAGGGATTTTTAATACTTATTTTTAATGATTAATTGACTGCAGTTGAAATACTTTGTTTGACAGTGTCTCCTGCTATTGTTAGCATGATATGTAGCTGAAGTGGAATGGAGTAACGCTTTGTCTTTCAATGTGATTGATAATGAGACGCAGTTGGTATTGTGACACATGGCTCTCTGGTTTTCCAAGTAAACAAACACATTCCTCTCTGGTGGACAAAGTTCATATTGATGTATTCATATGGATAATTCTGGATACTTGTCTTGCAAAGGAAAAATACTAGTACATACAGTTTTCATTTTCAGTGAGCTATGTTGAAGTTGCCTCCCATGGATATTTTTAATTATTTATAATTTATTTTACAGTAAATGACTTTTTATAATGCTCTGCTTTGCTGCTGTGTGATAATGAGCATTCGTGTTGGACTTAGGCATGCTTTGGCCTGTTATCCTGCAT